TGTTGAAAGCTCGTATGTGATGTCATCCCACAGAGAGACTGTGGATGGCCCCGGAACTTCTCCGGCTCGAAGTCCCTCCTCCCCAAGGCACTCAGAAGGGCGACGTCTACAGCTTTGGGATCATCCTCCAGGAAGTGGCGCTACGTCGGGGAGTCTTCTACCTGGACTCTGACCCGCTCAGTCCTAAAGGTGAGAGTGCAAGTCCGTCGTGGGCTTGGGGCGAGGCGGGCCGGGCTTTCTCAAAGCGCAGGCTGACCTTCCTGTGCAGAGGTGGTGGACCGCGTAGTGCTGGGCGAATGGCCGTGTTTCAGACCCATGGTGGACCCGCACACTCACAGTCCCGAACTGGGTCAGTTGATGCAGCGCTGCTGGGCCGAGGAACCCACAGAGAGACCCGAGTTCAACCACATCCAAATGCTGTTGCGCAAGCAGAACAAGTAAGCGCGTGCGCCCCGTTTGCTTGCTTCTTGACCAACCTGCCGTCTGTGAAAACCTGCGAGAGAGAAACCAATGTAGGAAACATTTGAAAGCCCCTCCTACGAAATGCTTTCAACACAACTGAACGAGTTGTGACTGCTCTAAAAGGGCGCTAGGGAACCTCACTAATGCTTCATACAGTATCGATGTGCGTGGATGTCTGCATGTTTGTGCGCAGGGAGTCCAGGACCAACATCCTGGACAACCTGTTGTCACGCATGGAACAGTATGCCAACAACCTGGAGGAGCTGGTGGAGGAACGAACACAAGCGTATCATGAAGAGAAACGCAAAGCTGAGACGCTCCTCTACCAGATACTGCCGCAGTCAGTACTACACGCTACACCACATCGCACGACACAATACTAGACCACCCCAAATAACATGACACACTCCACAGTCCAGCACGGCAGGCCAAACTCCACACTTGATTTTCAAAACGGACAACAAATAATACCGGACTCTTGATAACGTCATTGCTCAGTGGGCCATACATTGCCCGGCCCTCCACAACACACACACACGCGCACACACATTGTATGCAACACAGGACAGGACCCACAGTATTGTGTGTGTGTGTGTGTGTGCCCGCGCACGCCCGTGCGCACTTGCAGCTCAGTGGCAGAGCAGTTGAAGCGCGGCGAGACGGTCCAAGCGGAAGCGTTCGACTCAGTGACCATCTACTTCAGCGATATCGTGGGCTTCACCGCAATCTCCGCCGAGAGCACGCCCATGGAGGTTAGTACGTGCTCACTCATCGCGCCCCTTTCAGCGCTCCTCAAAGGCTCCCGGAGACACGTGACGGCCCGTCTTTCCTGTTAGCACTTGGAAAGCTGCTCTTTTGTCTTTTGCCTCCTGTTTTGCAAAGAAAACGTGAAAAAACAACAAGGTGCCTGCATGTGTCTCCAGGTGGTAACGCTGTTGAACGACCTGTACACGTGCTTTGACGCCATCATAGACAACTTTGACGTTTACAAGGTAAGGGTGCGTGCCGCCGCCTCCACGCCGCCACGGCAACAAGCGTTGATGTCGAGTGGCGCCCCCAGGTGGAGACCATCGGCGACGCCTACATGGTGGTATCGGGGCTGCCGGTGAGGAACGGGAAGCTGCATGGCCCCGAGGTTGCGCGCATGGCCCTCGCCCTACTGGGCGGCGTCACCACCTTCAGGATACGACATCGGCCCGACGAGCAGCTCAAGCTCAGGATCGGCATACACAGTGGTCAGACGCTCACACACACACACACACACACACACACACACACACACACACACACACACACACACAGCAGGGGTTTTTAAGGCCCCCTCAAGGCTAATTGAAGGAGACATGCACAATGGATTATTGAATGTTTGTATCTACGTAGTTGTGTCAAAAGGAACAAGCAATCAATCTTGAGTTTGCCCATTCTTCCAAAATGCACCTCTCTCTCTCTCTCTCTCTCTCTCTCTCTCTCTCTCTCTCTCTCTCTCTCTCTCTCTCTCTCTCTCGTAGGTCCGGTGTGTGCAGGCGTGGTGGGTCTGAAGATGCCTCGCTACTGCCTGTTCGGCGACACGGTCAACACGTCATCCAGGATGGAGTCCACTGGAGAAGGTCAACACATCTTTACATTTCCTTCTTTTTGTCAGGACCATTTTTTTTTCTTTTTTTTTTTTTTTCTCATTATTCTTGAGAAGCTTCCGTCGCTGAAGTACATCTTTGCTGACATGAGCTGCTTGAAGTAATAAAATGGCACTCAACGCAACAGAGAGGAGGGCATGTTGCCAAATGATTTGTCAACTTTTCTGAGCCCGCTCGCAAATATTTTTTTCTCAACGTGAGCAGTGACTCGAGGTCCCGCTGAGAAACAGGCGAGATACACCGGTGCAATCATTTTGTCTGTCATATAATAAAGTGGCCTGGTGAAAAAGTGGTATCACGGTCATTTTCATATGATTCTATTTCAAATGAAGACATTTTACGAGGCATTTTAAAAAATATATATTTTTGTATTTTGACGTGTAGTAGTTGTGGCATTTTGACAAATTCATCATCACCCCCACATTTTCCTGTCTGCTGTTGTGCGAATGCAAAATGGCTGCCTCATCCTGGCACTTGAGCTCAGAGATCCCCTTTGGTGTATTGAAACATCATCATGAGGCTCCCTCCAGTAGCAGTAATGCTAAAGACAGCCTGAGTGACATTTATTTAGCATCATGTTATTTAGGATGACTTTAGTAGGATTGATGCAACAATAAGAAAATGACCGCTACTCATGTCTACTTGAATCTGATATATATGTGTGTGTGTGTGTATGTGTGGGTGTGGGTGTGTGCGTGTGCAGCATTGAAGATCCACGTATCATCGGCCACTCGCGACGTCCTCCAGGAGTCGGGCCGCTTCCAGTTGGAGCTCCGAGGGGACGTGCATATGAAAGGCAAAGGACAGATGACCACCTATTGGTTGCTGGGAGAGAACGACAGCCAGTGACTGCAGCAAGAGGGCGGGGCCACGCCTCAGGTTGTCCTAAAAAAAAAAAAAATACATGAGGCAAGCTACATCGCGTTCTTTCTTGGTGGCAAGGCCCCGTCCACGCAAGCAGGAAGTGTCAGATGGTCACCTGACTGCAAACTATGACTTTTGGCCCGTTTGAAGCTCTCAACATCCAACTGGATCAGCTGTCAAGATGTTTCAGTGTCGTGTCGCGTGTCCACTAGATGGCGCAATGCCTCGCTTGTCACATAGCAACAAGCTAATGCTTTAAAAAAAAATTACAAAAGAAACGCAGGAGCCTGACAGCAAGTGAGGTCACATACAGCAGTGCCTTCAGATTCGAGCTGTTGATCATTTGAACTTTTTTTTTTTTTTTTTTGCTCAGACGTGCGGGCAGCTACTTGAGTGACGTCAGGTGACTCTGCTCAACTCACTTCACAACTACACAGTTGTATAAAGAGGCTTCAAACTGTTTGTTCCCATGCCCAGCTGAGGTTTACGTTCAAAGCAAACACAAAATGTAGACAATTATACTTTGTGAATTTCAAACATAGGTTCAAGTTCAGTATCACACACTATAAGGTGCCAAATTGCACACTGTAGTGTGATAAATTTTAAGGTGGTACATTTCTTGTTTTAATGTGATGAATTTCACGTTTTGACGTCACTTTTTTAATGAGCCTATTTGAGGTGACTGGCGGAGTCGTATGTGTGTCTGCGTTTGGAATCTTTCCAAACATTTAGCCTCATTCTCAATTTTTCCCCCCCAGTATTATGGCGAATACGCTTCTGAAAAAAAAAACAGCCACAAAAATTTGCCTGACTAAATCCTATTTCGATGAATGCTAACAAACAATACAATGCGCCAGAGAGCTAATAGCATCGACGTATACTACATCGTTCAAACGCTTTCAGCAACAAACGTTTGAAGATAAACAGCACGGCAACATGCAGACACAATATAACACTGTTCTATCATATATTCTTTATCCTCTCCAAAGAATAACTTGGATCTTGGAGCAATGACGGTCTCATGTCGAGCCATTGATTGAAGCTAAACAAAAAAGTTAAATTTCTTTCAATGCCATTTAATTCAGTCATTGCCGTACATTATAATTTTTTGTGGGGATGGGGCAGTCTGCAGCAGATGAATGGTATTTGAATTTATTTTAATTGAGAGAGATTATTTGTGATATGACCCCCTTGAGTTATGAGCATAGTTTCCAAACAAACTCAACTTGTATCAAAGGCAGCGGAAGGCATGGGCAAATATTTGCTTTTAACGGGATAACCGTAAGCAAAACTTTTGCTGTATCATTCAAATTACAGCTCTAAAAATGTGTTGTTGTTTTTTTTTACATTGAACACAATTTCATTTTGTTTAAACGTCAGTAAATATCTGTTAAAATAAAATCAACAGAAACATTGTGTTAATTATGTGAGTCAGTGTCCCATCACTGGTGACTGGAGACCTATTTTTTGAACATAGCTAGAGGCCGCTCGTGTCATTGGGGCTAACAAGTACCCGCTGGCACCATGAAGGTTTTTTTTTTTTTTTCAAACCCTGCACATTAATTAACATAGTTAAAAGACATCGGTATAGTATGTACAGTTGCTCTCTCATCTTCCTCCCTCCATGTCTGAGAAAGAGAAAAAAAAAGTTGCTGGCCTCCCGTCATGACCTTTAAAGGGTGCCTCATTTAGCGATCTCTCCAAGCAGCCAATCATATTGAGCTGTGCTCCGAAGTGCCCTCAAAAAGCAAGACAAGAGTGTATTGCCTGTGATGGTGGGTCTGTGCGGTTTTTGAAACCTCGACTCTTTCAAACTATGGCATAGTGGTCATTGGCCCATACCTACGTAGCGCTGTGTTGCAACAGATGAACTTTCATGACCGATTCTCAAAGTAAGCACAGCAAGTGGACTTAGTTGAAAATGTTTATTGAAGACACACACTAAAAAATGTCAATTAAAAAAAAAAAAAAAAAGAAGCAAAGAAGCATCCAGCTAATGAGGAAGAAGCGTCCAGTTGATGACATACGGGGGTCTTCTTGTTTTTCATGTCATGAGCTGCACACACAAAGGTACAACTTTTAACACACAAGTCGAGCCTTGAGCGGACGTGCACGTGTGACACTCACAGACTTGACACACTGTTTGATGAAGTCTTTCCTGCCGCTCAGATCGTGATTGGGATACGTGTCATACACCTGAAAGGGAACAACGGATGAGACCGAGGGCGCGGCCGCGACGGCATTCGTTCGCGAGGAGGACGCACCCTCTGGCAGATGTGCTTCATGGTCATCTGGGCCAGGTCGGCGTCTTTGAGGAGCGCGCACACCGTCTCCTTCAGCTCATCGTCGCTCGGCGCTCGTTTGATCATCTTGATGAGGGGCTCGTCCTCGTCCGATGTGTCGTCGGCTGCCGTGGCAGCGAACGTGAGGTGGTTAAAAATCACGGGGCGTGTCGCGCTGACGCCACGGCTCTCACCTGTGTTGGTGTTCTTGCTGCTGCTGCTGCTGCTGTCGGCCTTCTTGGTCTTGGGGCCAGGCTTCTTTTTCTTGGCCTGACAAACAGGAAGTGATGTCACACAGGCAAACGGATAAAGTCGCAGTATGGTGAGTTCTTCTGTTTTTTTTTTGTTTGTTTTTTGTTGTTTTTTTAAACCTCATTGATGTCCGAGTCGTTGTCAGAGATGTCCCTCTTGACCCGCTTCCTCGGAGGTGGAGTCTTCTTGGTGGGGGTTCTGGAGCGCTTTTTGGATTCCGGCTTGCTCACATGACAGGACATTGGCAAATTAAAAGAAGTGCACATGCCACGTGAAACATTGACTCATTATTCCTTTATGGCTAGACACACATTTTGATGGGAGTGGACCAAAACCGGTCCACTAAAAATCCCATTTATGGTTTCAGCCCTTTGTAGTGATTTAGGAGTCGGGAATGAGTGAATGATTCTCAATGTTGAATCACTTGATTTGGATTTTTACGTACTGAACAATATACTGTACTGTTATGTGACGCTTGCGCTGAAACAATGAACTGAATAACTGCCTGTGTTGACAATTACTTCAAAGCAGTGGTCTACAGTGGACCTCCACATGTCTGCTGTTCTGCATATGCGACAGCACCTATTTTATTTACTTTGTTTTTTTTTAAATAGTTCCCCTGCTTTTATTTGTCCCCTTCAAAATTTAATGAGTGTTGATTTTTTTGCGGTTGGCCCTGGAGTCTATTCCCACGATTAGTCGGGGGTCCTCGGGGTAAAACAATCCATCTCGTAATGGCTAGTGTAGCCACAAAATCAAACAACTAAATAATTGACTGAGCGGGGAATTGTTTTCGTACAGTCGTGAACGACGTGTTGTCGTTGATGCATGGGCTCAGGCGACGCATCCAATAACAGCCAACCGAGTCCAGCTAAACAACCGTCTAAGATGGGAATCATTGACTCATTCCCTGCTCCCAAAGGACGACAAAGTTTTTCTTTCTTTTTTTAAGCAGAGGACTACATAGTTGATGAAACGATTCGTTGAACAATGGTTAATACAGACTCTTAAGTCATTAGCAGTGTTGGGAATCATTTTGAGCCCACCTAAATAGCTCGAGTGGGGACCGACTCTAAGGCAGAAAGGAGTCATCGACTCATGACTAGAGTCGAATTAAATCCGTCTGTGTTCGAAATCATTGACTCATTCCGACTCGCTCTCACCGTGTGCATTTTGATCGAGTGGATTTCAGAGACGATGAATTGAACAACAGCTAATATAGCCAACGAAGTCCAACTGAAGGAGTCACTGTGCTATTGTCCTCTTACCTTGTCCTCTTCTTCGTCCCCCTCCTCATCATCCGTACGGGACGACTTGTCTTCCGTGTCCGAAGCTTTGCCATCAGGTACCTTGTCTTCCTCTCCCTCCTCCTCCTCCTCCTCCTCCTCTTCCTCCTCCTCATCGTCGCTGCTTGAGTCCATGACGATGGCTTTGGACTTACTTGGCGCTTTGGACTTTTTGGGGCTGGACGAGGACGACGTCGAGACCTGTCTGCTCTTGCCGTTGCTCTTCGTCTTCTTGCTCTTGGCGGCCAAGTCGGCGGATGTTTTCTTCCTGGATCGCTGCTTCTTCTTCACGGGAAGACGCTGGAACAAACAGAGGAGGGAATGAGCGTGCCCAATCGCAGGTCACATGACTTGACTTCATTGGTCAATGTTGGGCAGGACATGACTGGACAAGTCTTGCTTGTTTCCATTTGTCCTGGTCTACGAGACGGTGTGCACATTTACGCAAGTCTGTTTGGACTTGACCGCGGTTTGTCCAACATATAAAACAGAATGGTGTCAAGAAATACACATGAACCGACTTCTCAGTTTGTCCAGATAACGAGACGTTGCTTGGCCTTTTTTTTTTTTTTTTTTTTGCTTTGACTTGCGAGCAAACATTTGAAATATGAGCAGTGTCTAGTGCCATTGGACTCAACAAACGGCAGTTTGGGATACGTGAGCAAAATGAGGGGAAATAACTGTCGAAAGCAAGGCTTGACACTCTTCTTACACTTTGCTGTCAAAGTAAACATCAAACATCTTGTGCGTTGCTATGAGCGGCGTGACGTGAAGTGGCTGCCATCTCGGTGGAACGGATTCATGATTTATGAGCTGTCCCACCACTCATCTTCCATCTGTGCTAGTCCGCTCCACTTTTTAAGACATGCCACCGAAAACATCTCACTGATTTTGACGCATGGACTTGGGGAATCCCGTTCGAGTTTAGTGGTACAAGTTTCCATCTGAAACCCGTCAGCCAAATGGAGAAGGCCATTAACGAGTGCCAAGCAAATGAGAAAGAATCAATTTTGACCCGTTTACTCTCATTCAAAGGGATTTTTGGAGCAGAATTTCCATCGGCGAGCATTTGAGCCAGGGGAAAACCCACCTGGACTTCCAACTGTCAAGTGACAACTGGACTTGTTTGACACTTGACGGTTAAGACTTAGCCGTCGCGCCGCGACCCGGAAGGAGCAGCACAAGGGCAATCTTGTGCGAGTGACGGAGCAGTCGCTGACCTTTCCGCTGTCCTTGGGCTCCACCAGGAAGTTCATGATCCTGTCCACCAGTTCCGACTGCGTCCCTTTCTTCCCCAGGTCCAAAATGCTACAAACCAGCTTGAGTTTGGCGTTGGTCAAGTGGGCGTTCCTGCAACAAGCGTCGGACAAGCGGAGCAGTTAGAGCGAGCGAGCACCGGGGCCAACTGTTGTGAGCTTACTTGAGAAGTTTGTCTCGCTTCTTGAGGTACTGGTCGCTGCCGGCGGAGAAAGGGAAACCGTTGAAGAGGCGCAGGTTCTTCTTGACACTCGCCATCTGTCAAAGCACACGCGTCACAACCTGAAGCGAGGCCTGCAAAATTCGGACAGAGTTGGAACCTTCTCTTCGACAACTGAGAGTGGCCAACGAAACGGGAAGGTCCGACCTCGACACTCGGCGAAAAAACCCTTTTCTCATCGGGCAACAGCGACACAATGTTGTCTTTTGGTCACAAGAGAACCTGCACGAGCAAAACAACGTGTCTCCAACGTGTTCTCTTCTTTAGAAATCATCAGGACAACATGACCAATTCTGACCCAAAAAGTCGAGAAAAAAAGGAAAGCAATCAAGCAGAAGAGTGACTTTGACGTTTCTGTTTTTGGCCCTAAAAATAAAAACCCGTGAACGGGCTTTTGGTGTAAAAAAAAAATCCTCTTTGCGGATAAACTAAGAAACCCAACGTGTGCAGATCTGACTCGCTGAACGGCACAAGGTGAACATTCGTGAACATTTCGACATGGCCTTTTGCTACTCAATCCATCAACGGCATCAGCTTTGCTCACAACGCGTACACACATTCTACTTCTTCCTCTTCTTTTTTTTTTTTTTTTACTATGTTATCTGTTGGCAGGTCACGCGGCTCAACTTGTATGACTTCCAATTTCTCTCCATCACAATTGATGTGACAAACCAAGTTTCATTGGCTAAATCTTGATCTTCGATTCCAAAGCTATGCTGAGTTCAAATCGAAAGTGATGCTAGATCGCCCTCTGCTGGCATCTGTTAGTCATTACACCACTGAAGTTCAATTCTTTGGCTTGTGAAATGATCCGATATTGATTTCAATGTTTTGATGCCACCTCAGAAGAAGTAGAAACATACAAATAATTAAGTATTATAATAATAATAATATAATTATTGTCAGGAAACGTTCCCCCCCCCCCCGACTACTCCCCCCAATTGGCCTTTCCTTACCTTTCCTGGCCGCTCAAACAAGATGGCGTGCAGTGGCTTAAGTTCTTCGGACTTGAGTTTGCCGATCTGGAAGTTGGTGCGCGGAATGTCTCCCAGCTTGTCGCCGCTTCCTGCACGCGCGCACACACGCACGCACACGGCATCAGCGCCAGCGTGGCCATGCTTTGGCTGCGGCAAAAGGCCAACGTACCTTGTGCGATGGTCAGCTCTTTGTGTTGGGGCGCCTGCATGTCCAGTCGCTCCACACTCTTCTTGGTGCGCTTTCCCGCCACGCAGAGCTCATCTTCGGACAGCGGCGCCAGCTCATATTCCCGCAGCTGCGCAGGAAGCCCGTCTTTTTGGTCTGCCGCGCTTTTCTTGCCGCCCGACTTCTTGTCTTCCTGCCACGTCTCCGGACGCTTGGCTGTTGCTTCGGGCGATGAAGCTCGCACACCTGACGCTTTCTTTGCCATGTAACTCATATCTGAGCACGCACATCAGAACCATCATCATCATCATCACCACCATCATCATCCTCCTCCTCCTCCTCACCCACAACTCCCAAAATGTTCAGGAAGTTGAGCTTCCAGGTCACCTTTCAGGATAAACCTAAAGAGTCAACGTTATTTGACCGTCTCTAAACTTTTGAATCCACGTCCCTTTTTACCCTGAAAATTATTTTTCCAAGGACATCCACTTCTTTTCCTTTCTGTGACTCTTCCAGTGCCTCTGTTGCAACCTGCTGATGATACACTAAGCGAGATGTGCAACAATGAATACACTATTTTAATAATGGATTCTCTCTACAGCGAACTATTCTCTGACTTCTTACATCTACCATGAAAGCAGACTTTTGCAATCGTCTGCGTTTTCTTTGAATAAAACAATGATCAACATTTTTGCTGATTTTTTGGATGGATGTTCTGCACCAGACCTGTAACTGAGTTATTATGCATTTGTGAATTTTCAGTACCGTCAAAATGATTTTATTATTATGATTATTTCTTTTTTAAGGTATGGAAATGAAATTGTTTCTATATCTGATCCGTTGATTAATTTAAGAAAAATACTAGGCAGATTCATCAATTATTCAAATAACTGATAGTTGCAGCCCTCGGTCTGTGGCCACGTCTTGTTTGAGAGCGAAGTACTGGTGATCAATTTTGGGGTGTGTTGTTAGTTTCATGATGACGAATGTTCATCGTTGGGAATTTTTTTTTGCCTCTGAGCTCCTAGTTTTTGAACAGCAAGTTAGGTAAAAGTACATCAACATTAAGCATTGTAGAGTTATTTTAGGTTCACCTGTAAAAGTTATAGTTTATTTGGGGGTCAACATGAAATTTGTGTATGTACGGTACATGTACGTAATCACACGAGTGATCGCATGTTCGGCTTGCTCATTGAACGACTGCACCCTTGGATCCCAAAACGACTGCTCTGACGGAAATGTGCATGACTGCAGATGGCGCCAACATCCAAAATTGCATTGGAACAATTTTTATGTTTTTGTATTTGTTTTTTGCTTTTTTTTTTAACGCTGTGTAAAGGTCATGCTTCAGGACTGTCAAAATAAAATCATGTAACATTAAGACGTACGGGATCTCATTTGTTTTCCATCGACCATTCAATGAAATTCACGTTGCTGATAACGACACTTTATTGTTCTTGGCGTGTTCCGATCGACGTGATTATTTTTCTATTAATTTGGACTGAACAGGAGTTAGACTGACTTGGCCGTCATGTGTCGTTTTATGTCGTCAGCCTGACTGCTAACACGTTAGCTTCGGTCACCAGTATTCAAGCTTCCGAGTTGGCGCTCTATTCAAGACGACATTTGAGAGGCCTCCGGAGGCCGTCGGGAAGTCGAACAAAAGTTGGCTTACATGGACTGGACGTTGTTTTTTTGGCGTATTTGGTTTGCGTCACTGCGTGTTGCGTCGCACTGCTGTTGTTGTCGCTCTTGGTCTTTATTTTTCCGTTTCATTCCCGATGGCGGGTTCTTGAGGGAGGCGGGGCTAAAACTGCATCCTCGCCCCCGATTTGACACGAGAGCGATGACGTTTAAGTTAGTCTTCTTCGAATACCGAGAGTGGCCGGGCGCTGGATTCGCTCCTGCCCCCAATAGGGCGCCGGCGATAACGCATCAATAAAGCGACGCCTCGGTTCTCTTGACAGAAAGTCCGACGTTTTCGAACTTGAATATTTGCCTTTCTTCTTACGCGTGACACAAGCCACACTCGTGTGCTGCTCAGTCAAACCTGTCTGGCAACAACAAAAAAAAAAAAACATTTTCTTCATGGATCAAAGTCAAAGGAAATGAGCAGATCAAATTAGCTTTCTTGCCATGCTTCACGCAACACACGTCCTTCATTTTTATTTGCAAAATACCCGAGTCATTTAGATTTTATTTCAAAGCAGCTGACTTTTTCCCCCAAAACCAACGACTTAGTTTTATTTTTGTCAAATGAGATGTTTTTTGTTTATTTCTTCAAAACCCATCACTTCTTTGTTTTCGTTTTATATCGTCCCAAACAATTGTTTTGTGATCTGCTGTGTGTTGTTACATTGGATAAGAAAAACATAATATCTAACGTCACTCCATTCATTCTACATACACACCCAAAATACACACATACATAACATATTAGGCTGCATACAGAAAATGCGCCAAGGAGCCCTCAAGGACTACATGAGTAGCCTGTGGGCTTATTCCAAAAATAGCTCACCAGTGATGGGACACCGTGACTCTCCAAGAATATTGTAGAAGTGATCATTTCAAAATGTGAACATTGGTAGGTATGTATCATAAAGTCTGGCCAATTGATATATATCTCGTGAGCTCGTGAGTTGGAATCCAGTTGAGGTTTTGTGTGTCGTCCCCAAAACATTTTAGCATGCTTGCTGGCTGCATCCAAGACACCGCATTGTCCGTAGGTGCGTGTGCGTGAGAATCGATAGGCGTTTGTCTACGTTCCCTGATACTAACTGACAACTAATCTATTGTCTGTCTGCCTGTGTCCGAAGAGAGTCTGGTGACCAATCCATCATTTTTCCATCTGTCTTGACATTGACTGTTGGCCAATCCACCGTTTGTCTAAATGTCACCAAGGTATTCATCTCTCTAGAGAAGGTTTGCCCGTATGATTGTCATGTTCCATGTTAGCGGGGCGGTGGGAAGGTTCACGTGGCGAGCGCCCTTCCCAATGGACAAAACGGGAATGTTGTCATGAATGGGAACGGCAAAAGAATTGAGAGCGAAGCAGTCGGCGGCTGTTTATTAACGATTGATGAATTGGCGCGTTCTTCACAGAGACAAAGGAGAACGTCAGTGCTTGAATTCACCGAGCCGAACCCACTCGCTTGAACCTTGAACCATAAAAACACACAAAAGAACACATAAAAAGAAAACAAAGGCGTTCCTTGGCCGCGCCGAAACGTCTTCCGCTTCTCAAGATTGTCGTCGATCATGTTGATTTAATCATCATAAAGAATTATCAGCAATCAGCCCCCCACCCCCCCAAAAAAAACACATATTCTGGTCATGTGACATCTCCTCACTTGGTCATCTCGGTGTCTTTGTCCATGTCCTTCTGGAACAACAACAAGATCAACTTGTACCTCTGCTGCTCACATGTAAGAGCTCTTCAACTAACACAGAGGATATTTGTCACGCGTGTACGTGTCCTGATAACGTGTGTCACCTGACAAGTGACATACTTGGCCTATTGACATGTAACACCTATCCTAGTGACATGTAACGTGTGATTTTTTTTTTTTCAAAATACACACTGTGCTCCCCTAAGGAAGTATTTGTCTATCACTGTTTCTTCCCCCCTCCCACTTCATGTTTTCTTTACATCTGCGAAAACTGTCAAAGGCGACCCAGTGGACTCACACTCTGTAACCCCGGTTGGTCATTGTTTTTTCTGTTTCTTGTCGCCTTTTGTTGTAGTACAATGACAATAAAGCTCTTCTGATTCTGATGTGAGGTGTCCTATTGATGTGTTGACATGTCCAACTGATGTTTCTGTGATCTGTTGCAGTGACGTGATGGCGTGCCATATTCTCTCGATGACAGTACTTAGTCACATGACTTGACCTGACCCAGTGTCACGTATTTCCTGACAAATGAGGTGGAGAGTCCGAGTGACGTGATGTGTGTCCCTTTGACATGTGAAAGGAACCAGGTACTTAAATGACCACTCCTAAGGACACGCGGCATGTCCGGTGACATGTTCTTATGCCGTGCAGCGTGTACAAAATGATAATGTGACCTCTCCTGGTGACATGTGTGATGTGCTTGAGTAATCGCGAGATGTCCTTTTGACATGTGGCATTTGACATGAGTCCTCATGACATGTACGACTTGCAATGACATGTGACAGGTATGGGGACTCACATAGGCGGGGGCAGAATCGGCGTTCCAAAGTCGAGAGTGCGTGGTGTACAGCGGGATGTCGTCAGGGTGGTTGTAACGCCCCCTGTTGCAGCAACACCAAAATATCTGCCAACGAGAAGACTACATAAGTGCAAGAGTCCTCACCATCATCAGGAAATATTCATCCATCCGTTTGAACCCTGAACCTTAAAGCTGTGAAGAACACGTGCAAATCACTAGTGCCCCATGCTAAAATATAACCTTCAATCAGGGGGTATGGGGGGGCTACATTTCAGAATAGTCAACATGCACAAATATGTATACGATCAAATGAGCCCACAGATGTCACTCTATGTAGGTGTAAAAAGCAGGACCGAAGAGGATTTGACATTCAATAATTCAGTAATTCACCCAAAACTTGGCTGAGCTTCAAATCGGCCTACTTCTCGAAAATCGAAATAAAATAACAGTTCTTAAATTTCCACAAAAATCTGCAGCTGGAAACCATGATGAGGGGCCTTTACTGTCATTTGTATATATCATAAATGTTTTTAAAATGATGCGCTAACCATGGCCATGAGCATGAGGAGGAGGAGCCCAAGGAGCAGAGCACCCAGAACCAGAAGAGCGATTCCCCAACCGGGAACGTTGGCACCACTACCCGCTGGTATAGAGGTGTTGCTCGCAGCGCCCCCTGTGGTTGCGGACGTGGCGTTGGCGGATGTCGGCATGGATGTCATCATGGCGGTTGTGCCATTCCCGGTCGTGTCATTGGCGCCAGTGATGGCATTTGTTCCTGCGGAGACGGGAACCGTGGTGTACTGTCCGGTGTTGTTTGGCTGCTGCTTGGTTGTCATGAGAACTGTCCACATGTTGGTTGACGTGGCGGCGGCCGTTCCCGGGCTGCTCGTCGACGGCAACGGCGGGACTGTTGTCGTGGAAAAGCCTCTCATGATGAAACACACTGCAGTCATGTTGACAAACATAAAAATTGCAACTCACACGCATACAGAAACGCAGCTTGAAGTGGGAACTTCGTCCTGTGAGCTGACCTGTGATCCACATGGCGAGCATCGTTGTCGTCCACATTCTTGTGCTGTGTGTGCGTCCGTGTGCATGTGCGTGTTCTCTTTTCAAGCAGACACCTGCGCAGAGGCGGCGCCAGAAAGGGGTTGGGGCCACACCCCATCACACCTTGCAGGAACACAGCATGGGCATGTGGTTTGTTGTGGAAGCCCCCCCAGGTGGATACGTGGGGCCATTCGTCCCACCCTCTGCACGCCCCTGGCATTGGTATGTGTGCGCATGTATGCTCATTAAATTGTGAGCGTGTGTCTACGCACTTATAAGTTTGTGTTTTTACAAATTATAGTTAACAGCGATGAACAAAAAAAAAGCAAACTAAAATAGAAAAGATTTCCGTGAAGAATACAAAACCAAAAAAAAAAAACGGTAATGTTTAAAAAAAGAAAAGGTTGACTGATCGATACGACATTTTATGTTTTCCAAACGAATCCAAGTAAACAAAAATATAGCGAAAATGCGCCTTGGTTTTAGCCTTTGTTGGTTAACGCAATTCATAAATGCGTTGTCATAAAAGGGTTGTTTTATTTCAAACGTAACCATCGCGGCTAGGCCGGAATTGTCACCGGGCTCACCGAACAACCCGATGGGAATTGTAGTTCACTCACACCGTGTCGCCTCGAAATTACGTCTTCAAAAAGTGTGAGACGCCCGCCGGGCGGCGGCCGCCAATTTGTTCGACACGCTACTTGCTAGTCGTGGATTTTCGCTCAAGACAGGCTGCCGGCGACCGAGGTAACGTGTACTGTACTTTAATTGACTTTGCTTTCGGTGCTGTGAGTTGCAGCTCAATAAACCGCGGGCACGACATCCGGCTTTCAACGCTAAGAACGTATTTATAAGGCACTCAAAGATTCTCTCTGATTTCGAACAGCTTCTGGATACTGTGGCAAAGTTGGTTATTGTGTGCTTTGTACATGTTTTGAATTCAACTAAGTCATACAATTTGAGAGTGTTTCATTTGATAATAATGGATTTGTTGGTTCTCCATAATTTGAGCGGTTGATAATTTGTCTAGATATAACTCGATATATAAAGACGAACGGAATTTGAAAGTACAGCATGATATAAAATATAAGTACAATGAAAAATCCATCATTACTACTACGCTGCTGTGTCCTCATAAATTTGTGTGTGCACTCTTCTTCTTCTTATAAATGTGTGTACCTGTGTTTGTGACAATGACGACAGGCATCAGATTGCGCTTCGTATTTTTTAATGTGATTGAAGACAGAATTGATCAGAAAAAAAATCGTCATGGTTGTTTCCATATTGTGATTGGATGGCGAGTGATGACATCACACTGCTGCCATGACGACATCACGGGGGTCGTGGAGACGTCATGGTCAGTTGTAGGCGTCTTTGTCGCTCTGCGATTGGCCGTGCGGCGCATCTAGCGGGAGTTCAGGGTCGAATGTAGGCTCCGACCCCAGCTGGCCTGTGGACATAAGGATGTTTGGTTGAGAGGTCGCCTGAGTGTGATGGGTCGCCGTGATTTGACCGACCATTGGCCATAAGTGCTTTTGCCAGATGGTTCCAGAAAGAGCAGCTTCTCTCGCGCAGGCCTTGCTTCTGGCTGAGGGCAGGGCTTAGCTCCAGAAAGGTGGGCGAGACCCCAGAGGAGAAGACCGGACGCCAGTGGGGCAGAGAGGTCGCCGGCCATGACGGTGACGGGTTGGGATCGCTGAGGGCAAGAAAAAAATGGCCACATCGTAAGTGTGTGGTCGCGTGTGTCGCCCGCCTTCACTTTGTCTGTCAGACAGGCAGACAGACGAACTGTCAGCCTGTCACTTTGTCATGTGCTTTGTATTTGGGTTTGTCAGTCGGTCAGTAAAGTAGGCGGACAGATGGATAGATAACAAAAACGTGTCACTTTGTCTGTTGGTCAGTTAGTTAGACACGCTAACTGTCAGTATGTCAATTCGGGAGTCAGTTTGGGTGTTTGTGGCGGTCTGCGTGTTTGTCGGTTTGCATGCGGTTACCCGCTCCTGACGAAGTTTGCCACGTAGCTCATGACAGCTAGCGAGAGGCGGCGCTCGGCTTTGGTGAAACGCGAGGAGCCGATTGGCTGATGAGGAGCTCCAAACAGCAGCTGCACGTCCAGTGGGAGCGAAAGGTCAGCCCTGAAAACCGGAAACGGACCCGGTCATGACCACAGACGTGTGGATGTGAATGGCGGCCAGCTTACGTTGCCACTCGCTCAAACCACTTTACTTGACTCCATTACTTTCTCCGCCGTGTTTTCATGTTATTTTCTGTATCCATGGCAAAAAAAAAAAAAAACATAACGGATTGTACCAAGAAGTCCGGAAGAAGCGTGACTTGCGCATTTCATCGGGTAAGAATGCAATTTAAAATTTTCTCTTGTAAGGTATATCTCTGAGAGCTACTCAAAGATATGTCTACGTCGTGCTGTCACAACCATCAACAAGACATAAAATGAAAGCAAAGCCATCATGAAAAGAACTTGTCAGGAACAGTGGCAATGTAAAATGGCTGCCCTCTGGCTTCATATACAGTCAGGAATGGCCGTGGAAAGCACTTGGCACCTGTTAGCGCTTGCCGGCTGGTGGTACAGGAAGACGTTGGCGCCGTTCTTAGCGTAGTGGTTGGCCATTCGCAATGTGGGACAGATGATGAACTGGTCTCTGCAACGCACGCACATAACATCCATTAAGTGCAAAAAAAGTAAAGGAAACACTTTAAATGCTAAGATGTCCCTCGCATCAAGTGAAGTTTGATGACGATGTTAACCATTTGGGATATACTGCATGTTTTTCTCATGCTAACTAATGCAATTAAGTTGTTTTTTTTCTTCTTTTTCAAATGTCCGCAAGTTGTCTTTAGCCATCTAAAAAAAAAGAAAGAGCCGCATACAAAACGTATATGTGCGTTCAGACCTTGTGGCGTTGTCAAGTGCGCGCGAAAAGAGGTTGTATCCAGCGGGGGCGGAGCTATGGTCCAGCGAATAGAACCAGGTGGCTGCCTCCTTGAGCAGTGAGCTTCCTGAGGCTCCGCCCAGCGAGCGGCTCAGCGCTTCGTAAAACGCTGTCTTGCCGCCACCACCGCCGGGGAGCACCGCCACAAAGTCCTGACAGCACACACAAAACCATGTACTTGTATCAATGTGTGTCCATGCTTCAAAGTGTGTGTGTGCGTGTGTGTGTGTGTGTGTGTGTGTGTGTGTGTGTGTGTGTGTGTGTGTGTGTGTGTGTGTGTGTGTGTGTGTGTGTGTGTGATTCTCCAGCACGCTGTGGCTTTGAACCTTGATACTTTGCATCCGGGCTAGGATTCCATCATGCTGGGACGTTCCGAGGAGGAGGTCAACTCTGCGCAGAGATGTCGGCGCACCTCCATCGTCAGCGGCGGCGTCTCGGTGCCGCGTGGGCGACCACGAGCGGAACGGCCCGCCGGCGGCCAGCAGCTGTAAATGCAGGAAGTTTTTATGAGGAACGACAACATGGCCGCCTGCGTGGGACGGGACTCGACGCGAGGCGCTGCGTCAGCTCGCGCACCTTGGTTTGAGCGGCATTGAGCGCCTCCACGGGCGCCGCTCTGAGGCACTCCAACATGCGGTCGTCGTCGTCCACGGCGCAGTCCAACTCGGCGGCCAACTGCAACGTTAGACGTCTGGCGGCTGACAGCGGTTGGAACGACGACGGAGAGAACAGCGAGCCTCCCTGCGCGTGACACATGGACCAACGGTTCACGTCAATGACGCACGCAGGTATAGACGAACACAACACTTGATATCGGCACCATCTATGAGTACCCGATGCCTTAAAATAAGACACGATACTGATACCTGGTATCCCACAAGCAAAAACACGCATGAATAACAGGTACAAACACGCAAATCATACATACATGTTAACACACACACAAACAATAACACACACACACACGCGTGTGTGCAAAGGCCAGGGCCCACGTTTTTTCACAGTTTTAAAATCTGCCGTCAGCACACACACTTCGTGTACTGACCATAAGCAGCATGCGGTGGAAAAGGGGTGCGGGGCGCATGAGTAGCAGGCTGATGATGTCGGCGCCGCCACGTTCTGCCCCCACCGTCACTTTACTCTGGTCCCCGCCCAGTTCGGAAATGTGGGCGTTTACCCAGGCCAGAACCGCCTCCTGGTCCGACGCACCCCAGTTGCCGCTCGCGACCGATGAACCTGACGAGCCGTGCGTGCACGCACCGAGTGGAACCACGTTAGTCACGGCTCACATGTGTTTGGTGTGCGCACGTGTGTTATGCATGTTGACATTTTGTGTGTCTGTGTGTCGTTGTGTGTCTCTATGTGTTGGTGTGTGCGTGCAGACCTGTGCTGAGGAACCCGAGGGCGGCCGTCCTGTATCCGGCCGTCACCACCAGCAGGTTTCCGACCGCAGCGAGGGTGGAGCCGTCCAGGGTGGCTCGACTTTGATTGGTCGGGGGGTTGATGAAGAAGACCAGCACTGGGACACGCCCCCTCTGACACACACACATGCACGGAAAGGTCAGAGGATGTCATGTTACCTCGTTTGCATGTTAGTTGAAAGAGGCGTCAGTCACCGTGGCGACGGGCCTGAAGACGTTGAGGTAGAGACAGTCCTCGCTGGTGTCCACCCGCCCTGGTTGGACGCAGGCGGACCTGAGGGACGCACACGTACAGTATGTCAGCCATTTTTAGGGTGGCCATTGGGGGCGCTCGCACTTACCGCACTTTGCTGGCGTCCCAGGTCCCCGTCCAATCGGACGGCTGTGCGCTTCGATAGCGGAGCGATCCGATCGGCGGACGAGCGTACGGAACGCCGAGGAACTGAAGCACACGCTTCCTGTCTGAACCCAACGCCGTTTCCACGACGATGCCTCGGAGGGTGCCGTGACCGGCGAGGCTTGTCACAGTCGCCGGCGACGAGGGCAACACTGATCATGAGGTTAACACACGTTATTAACACACATCTAGACAAGTACATATTTTTTTTTACACAGAAACAAGTGATTAACGCACGCACAGATATCTGGGAAAAACAGACACATGTACACACTAATGTAAAAAAACACACACACACACACACACACACACACACACACACACACACACACACACACACACACACGCCATGTATG